GTGTTGTTGGCAAAACGTGATGAAGGTTCTTCGAAGAAATCTCGGAAGCCAAAGAATGTTGATGAATCCACTCCTGAGAAACATGTTCAAGAGAAAACCGTCTCTAAGTGACCAAAGAAAAAGCCTGCAGAGGTAGGCAAAGTTTAGAAAAAGCTAGCAAAGCCTAAGGAGACTGACCAAATTCATCCTATCAAGCAACTTTTTCAAAGTCTGGTGTGTTAAAGTGTCTCAAAAAGATGTCTCATCGGTCAAGGAATTCTCCGGAGAGGTCCTCCAGTTTCTCACCCTCAATTATTCGTAAGCCCCATGTAACTACCACTACTAGAAAAACAGCCTTTTACGACGCGCAATGCGTGTCGTAAAACGCTCAGACGATGAGCAATCCGTGTTGTAAAACGCTCAGACGACGCGCAAATGTGTGTCAAGGAAGGCCATGTCATAACGAGAGACGACACGCTTTTGCGCGTCGTCTATTTACGACGCACATTTACAATGGGCATTTATGACACGCATTTACGACGCGCAGTTATGACACGCAATGCGTATCAAGGAAGGCACTGCCATAAAGGAAGATGGCATGCATTTGTGTGTCGTAACCATACGACGCGCGTGATTATGACACACAATGTGTATCAAGGAAGCCCCTGTCATTCAGAGGTTGCTTTTCACGCTCAGCGCTTCGATTTCGACATTATGTACACATCGCTTAATCACAAATTTTCGTGAGTTTTGTACAAATTTTTTTTTGTTACTTTCATGTCGAAAAATCCAAAAATACCAAAAATATTTTGTTGCTGTTTGTTTCGAAAAATAAAAAATCACAAAAAGATTTTATTTTTGTTTTGTCTTTCAATTTTTGAAAAATCAAAAAGAACAAAAAGATTTTATGTTTGTTTTGTCTTTCAATTTTCGAAAAATCAAAAAGAACAAAAAGATTTTACTTTTGTTTTGTCTTTTAAATTTCGAAAAATGAAAAACTACAAAAAGATTTTCTTGTTTTTGGGGTTTGTATTCTATTTTCTTAATGCAGCTTTTGGCAAAGATCATCCATGTTTCATGTTTGCAGTTCTAGGGTCAGGTATATTTTTCGAAAAACTTTGCACTAGGTAGGTTGTCCCTAGAAGCATGTTGCAGCATGTTGACCTAAGCCTCTTTTGACTCAATGGGTGTTTTCAAAGCCTTAATGAAGTTTTCATCATGAAAATTTCTTCCCAATCAGGCTATCTTCACATTAGTCCATGTACCTTACTCTTCTCAGATGAGTTAAGAGTTTACTGTGAGGTCAAATCAACGCAGAAGTACACTTGTTTCTTTTAGCCACTCTTTTTTTATCCCAAAATTCTTACACATTCACACACAATGACATATGTCCAAGAGACTTCTGGTACAACCAATCAGGAGCTAGACATATCAAAATTCTGTGTTTATGATCTAACATCATGAGACCGTGATGGAAGTGAAACCCCAAATGTCGAACTATTTTAAAGAATTGACAGGGAACTTTGTTCCAGAAATGACGAAACATCTGTTTCAGTACCTATATTCGAGACTCAAAATCATACTCTTTTCTTGAACAGTAATCTTGATAAAATGTTCGAAACCCACGACATTTGTTTCCCAACAAGATTTAGGTCTCATTTTGGTTTCAAGAATATGATTTCCATTTGAGTATATTTCTCAACCTTCGTTACTTAATAAACTTTTCAATGCTTACTTGTCACTGACTACACTGGTCAAACAGGTAGTTTCGTTTACAACTTGTCATACTTATATTAAGTATGCTTTGTAACGAAATTTTAAACCACCCTTGACGCCTTAATATAAGAAGCCCTTCGATACTTCTCAATATATATTCGATTGTAATTCACGGGAAACCACGCAAGCTGCAGATCATCTCTCTTGATGATTCACGAAGCAATCTTTGCCCGGGATTTATCTGCTTTTATGTCGAAATTATATTTTTGACATCACAGATCCATATTTTTCTTACTTTGCTTCTTATCTTTTTCCTTAACACACTGCACTCACGAAATCCTTGAGGTTCTGAGTATTACCAACTCAGGCTGGTGATTTCGAAAGACTGGTACATGACTTCGTTTTCAAACCCAAAAACAAAAGAGCCCAACCTCCATTCCGATGGTTTTGATGTGACGGTTTGGTAACTGTGCGCGTTTCTCGGAAACTGTTCTAATCACATTTTCTGACATGGCATATATGACGGCTAGTGGTGTGATTTTCAAGGGACACGTGTTATGCTTATTGATGGTAACCGTTTGAAATTCAAAATGGGGATACATATAAAAGGGGAAATTGGGTCGTCATTCCAAGTTTACGCATACTAAAAATTCTCAACACGATCCGTGCTCTCTTTATCTCTTTGTTCTTCATCACTTTCAAACAAACCCTAATCATGGCTTCTCTTCAATCCAACACTACTGACGATGCATCTTCTCAACCCATCATGAAGATTCACAGTAAAAATTATCAAGTGGATGGAGATGTTTCTGTATACCCTCAGGAACTCAAGATGCTCATCGTTGCGTTGAAACATTTTGTTTTATCGACTGCGATGTTCAGTGCGTTTGAAGTACCAATGTCTTGGTTGTCAATGGCTGGTTCTACTGCTTCATACAGCAAGACGATGGATACTGTAACCTTCAATTTGATCAATGATAAGAAGTTTCGTCTTACCAAGAAGTTGTTTGTCAAGATCCTTGAAATCTCTAATTCTCCACCTCTCTACAAAGTTACTAATGAACAAGTTCTTCACATGTTCAATGAGATGGGTTATCAACCCTCTCTAACCAAGATAAGCGATTTCAAGAAGTCTGGTCTTCCAAGTTTGTGGAATTTTCTTTTTGGGATTTACCTTCGATGCCTCACAGGTCGAAGTGTTGGTTTAGACAAAGGATCCATGGAGGTGTATGCTATGGTTGCAAACATTTCCTATGATCTACATGTTGACTATGCGACTCAGATGTGGAAAGAGTTTTTAAAGAGTATTGAAAACACGAATACAGTAGATGGGGTTTCATGTGCAAGGTATTGGAGTCTAATTCTTCAATATGCTTATGAAAAGGAAAGTATTTTGGTGCCTACTGATGAGTCTAAAGCAGAATTCTTAAAGTATCATTATCCGAAGACGATTAAAGATGATGTGAGTATTTTTCCTACAGTTGATAGGATTCCTGATGGGATGCTCAAGAAGGTTGATCCTTCGAATCCAGTGTTGGAGGCTTATTTTCTCACTATATACACAAATGATGGTACTGGTGTGTTGTTGGCAAAACGTGATGAAGGTTCTTTGAAGAAATCTCGGAAGCCAAAGAATGTTGATGAATTCACTCCTGAGAAACATGTTCAAGAGAAAACCGTCTCTAAGTCACCAAAGAAAAACCCTGCAGAGGTAGCCAAAGTTTAGAAAAAGCTAGCAAAGCCTAAGGAGACTGACCAAATTCATCCTATCAAGCAGCTTGTTCGAAGTCTGGTGTGTTAAAGTGTCTCAAAAAGATGTCTCATCGGTCAAGAAATTCTCCGGAGAGGTCCTCCAGTTTCTCACCCTCAATGATTCGTAAGCCCCATGTAACTAGCACTACTAGAAAAACAGCCTTTTACGACGCGCAATGCGTGTCGTAAAACGCTCAGACGACACGCAAATGTGTGTCAAGGAAGGCCATGTCATAACGAGAGACGACACGCTTTTGCGCGTCGTCTATTTACGACGCACATTTACGACGCGCATTTATGACACGCATTTACGACGCGCAATAATGACACGCAATGCGTATCAAGGAAGGCACTGTCATAAAGGAAGATGACATGCATTTGTGTGTCGTAACCATACGACGTGCGTGATTATGACACACAATGCGTATCAAGGAAGCCCCTGTCATAAATGAATATGACACGCATTTGCGTGTCATAAATTTCAGTAACCATTTACGATATGCATTTACGACGCGTCTTTACGATACTCATTTACGCATAATACAAAAATATGTAAACAGATATATACCAAAACAATCAATTTCATCCAATAACATCATGTCAAAAAATTGTAATACATTGATATTAAGGGGGTCTAATTGTACATTGTTATTAAGAGGTTTTCCCTAACTATATAAGCTAATACTAAATTGCTATTAAGGGACACCTTCTGCAATGTAATGCTATACATACTAAAAAGATATACACAAAGATGATAAACATAGAATTCCAACTAAGTACAGTTGCATCTTGCCTTTCATAATTCTTTAAGACTAATGAACCCCTGCTCCGATAATTCTTGTGACCTGATCAAATAAAAGTCAAAAAATTAATATGCTAATATAATTATTAGAAGAATCAAACATGGAATGTTCGTTGCAGATAATACCTCAGGCTAATAGACAATCCTTGATCCTATGAACTAGAGAGTATATCATCACAATTCCATCTAACACCACCCATGAGAACCCGTAAAGCTACTCAACCAACATATCATGTCATGTAATGTATTTTTTGTCAGTATATTTTCACGTAGAAAAAAAAGTGAAAGAAATAAAAATAATAAGTACCAATAATGATGTATTATTTACAGTGAGCTGGAGCTTGTAGACTATCATGTATTGAAATACGAAGAACCTCAATCACAAGATAGTTTCATGTACACGCCCTCTGATTGTCTGGAGATGTGCCTGTTCTTCATCCCACCAGGATTCCCAACTATTGTCTCCTTTCACTCCAACTCCACCTTTATACATAAGCCAATTAGTCCAATCATCAAAATCTTCCACAACTCTATTCACATCACATCTCAATCATCAAAATCTTATAGGATAGATTTATGAATTTGGAAAAAGAAAATAAAGTAACTGGAAGCATACTTCCGCCATTCGAAGCCAGATGGGTTGAAGATATACGGTACAAACAACCATTTTCCTACTTATTATCAAGTCCCAAATAGAAACACTAGACCCCAATAAAAGCAACGGGATCTCACTTGACCGCCTCCACTGTCCCTATCCCTGTCCCACATAAAAAATCCCTTTCATTAAATTAATTATTATTACAAAATAAGAAACGCAACCCAGTTAATCAGTCACATACATAATCTCAATCAATAATACATACAACAAATTTTTTTTCATTTTTCCCTAAAAGCTCAATCAGGTGGAGGGAGGGGGGCTATAGTTTGATCAACATTTTTGTCTAACTTATTTTTTCCTATATAGAAAAAAACCAGAGCTCTCAAATCTTACAGGACACTGTGTGTGGTTGGGTGGCTGACGTCAGCACACAACCTCCCTCCACTGACCAGACCACCACCCTTGCCTTTCTTTTTATCATATTATTGGTACAGAATATATGTCTTCTTTCATAAAATTAAATAAAATAAAAAAAGAATTCACATTTCAAGAAGATTATTCACAGTAACTGACATCGAATTTGTTCGCTGCAAATCCTGCACAAACTTAAAACAATAAATTAATATAACATATGTTGTACAACTCATGTTCATGTCCATATCCAATTCAAAAAATTAAATAAAAAGGAATTGAGAGAGAGAGAGGGGATAGGTACCCGTAATATTATTTCATCAGGGACATGGGGAAGGACTTCACGGACGGTTTCAACCATGGCGATTATGTTTGAAAAGTCAACATCCGGGACAGGTGGAGGTGGCATGGTTCTGATGAGGGACCCACCCCCACCCCCAGTAGTGTGTCCTCCTAGGTGTCTTACAGTACTTGTGGAAGGATTTGGATTGTTTGAAGAAGAAGTAGATGTAGATGTGCTGGCCTGAGAAGGATTTACAAGCCACAGGTTCCAAGCAGCATCTTCAAGGGCAGTTTGGGCATACGTTACACCAACAGCTGCCAGGTGTCTCATCATCATCTGGACTCTTCCTAAACCCACCGATCTCGATGGACCCGCCCCCATCAAATCCCAACCAACCTGAATCCGCCTTTAACCTCCTATTCCCCCCCCCCCCCCAAAAAAAAAAAAAAGGGTTTAGTTAACACTCTTTCACTCCCACAGTGAGCCTGCACACATCCATTCCCATGATTTAGTTAACAAGTCAATGTGAATCAGCATAACAGAATGATAAAAATCGGAGTCTTGCCTGCTCCCAACATATCTAAAAGCTTTGATATTTTGGAATTTGTGGTGTTACGTGCTGAGTGGTGAACCCATATATCAACCAGTTGAAACCCATGAACCAAAATCTCCTAAAACTAAAAACATTATGAAAACCTGAAATAAAAATAAAAGTATATAAATACATAGGTCAGCGTGTGTGTGTGTACCTGTAGTGTTTCGAAAGCAATACTAAGAGGCTCAAAGAATAATAACGAAAACTGGATCGACCACTGTAAGTATACTGGATCCGCCACTATAAGTGTGTTCAATTTTTTTCTATAATATCCCTCACCCTTCATGTCATATGATCCATCATCACCACAAGGATAAAAAGTTCCATACTCATCCCTGCATTATTTATAGTTTTTTAAACCACAAAACTTTTAATAAGAGATTAATATTAATATTGGTAACTAATCATTTACCTGTGTACAGAGAAGAACAACACTTGGGAGTCCTTATAGAAGGTCTTTTGAGTACCATTTCCATGATGAACATCCCAATCAACAATTAGTATCATGTTAATACCTAATTCCTGCAACATACATAACAAGAATTAATTTAGATAATTCATAAGATTGTAGTCAATGGTTGATTTGACAAACTGTATGCATCATTGCATTGATCACTCTTACTTTTTGGTTAAGGAGAAAGCTTGTTGCAATTGCAATGTTGTTGAATAAACAGAATCCCATTGGTGGGGGCCTGGTAAATGTTTGGATTATGGAGGCCTGGTAAATGTTTGGAAGTACAAAATTAACCACTTAGGACATAAAAGATCACATTGGTGGTGCACTTGTATGCACGGCTTATATTCATCTTTTTACAAGGTTATACATTCATAGCCCTTTCTTGCATGACTTACAGCCATAGGCTTAAGTTGCTGTATATACATACATACATACATACATAGGCTGCCCAAAATATCTTATTGATAAATTAAGAAGAAAAAATCCCCTAAACAAAACTCTCGACCAAAATCTCAGCAGGGAAAGGGTCTATGTTATGCATAACATAGGCTGATAAGCACCAATGATGCTTAGGTCCCTAGCATTCCATCTTTTCTCATGACTAAATTTGTGACAACATTTGTATTATCTATGATGCAACAAAGCCCTATTATAGTCCTTCCCCAACTTGTTCGATCAGTTCCACTACATTTACCAGGCCTCCATAATCCACTAATTTAGTCACTTGGTGGGGAATGGCCTGAAGAATCCAATGAGTGATTAATAATCTTGTTAGTTGTTAGACAAAAAACTAGTTATGATCCCCATTTCTTACAGGTCTTTAGGTTAAAAGCAGGTCCCTGACTAAATTAGTCAAGTATTTGTTTAAAGACTCAAAATTCTTGTAAGTCAAGATACGGTCAGGAGAAATACACAACTAACCCACAGGTTCAACCTTGACTAGTAAGGAAAAATCCCTTGTACTAAAAGAAGAGAGAAAATATCTATAGGATACAATTTCAAGATGAGACGAGAGGGCGTACACTTAATATCCGTAGAGAGAAACATTTTACCTCTGACATGAAATGGACTCAATGAAATTGTAAATATAACCCAGATTTTGATACAACATTAAGAGATAAAAGATGAGAGAAAATATCTAAGGGATACAATTTCAAGATGATATGAGAGGGCGTACAAGAAGGTTCATGTACTGATCAGCATCGAAGGAGGTGGTGTTGATAGTGTCGAGAATGGCGAATCTTGATGTGGTGTTGGTGGGAGCAGAAGTCTGAGAAGCTCGATAGCAGATCTCGGGTTCTCTTTACCTTATCATCATCTACCGCCATTTTTCTCTTTCTCTCTAGTCCCTCTTAACTCTTAGGGCTTGTAAACCAAAAACATACCTTAATCGTACTTAGGGATTGGAAAGAGATGAGTCGAGGTCGCCGGTGGAAAGAGATGACCTGATTTCGCCGATAGGAGGTGAGGTGAGGGAGCGAATATTACAGAGAGCACTCCTTGAAAAAACCCTAGATAATGGTCCCTGCAATGGCGGGCTTTTTAACTTTTCTATTTTTTTCAGGATTTCCCATTCCCGCTGCTACTAAAGATGAAGCTGCTAGAAGAAGATGCGCGTTTCATTAAAAAAATATAAAGCGGCATGATTTCACGATACGCTTTTTAATATAGGTGCCCTCCGCCTTTTTTTTACACTAATTTTAGGGCACGCAAAAATGCACGTCCTAAATCCTTCACATTATGGAAGAACTGACATTATTTTTAGGGCACACACTTTTGCGTATCGTAAAACAACGCGTGTCATGGTTTGAGCGTCATTAAAGGGTATTTTTCTAGTAGTGTAGGAAAGGAGTTGTTCTTCGTGAAATTCCTGTATCGGTTTCACCATCCTCGAAGAAGCGAAGGGCTGAGGATGTTGCAAAGCATATTTCAAAGAAGACGAAAAAGCGAAAGTTGATCCTTCAGGAAGATGAAGACGACGAAATCATTCCTGATTCTCCAATGGGTAATCTTTCACCTCAAAAGAACTCACCTATCAAATCTACTTTATACATGATAGGAATTTCAAGTAGCTCTGTGGAAACTTCGATAGTGGACACATCTACTCTTCATGATGACTCAACAACAGTATCGAATCCTACACAGACTTCGGCCATACCACCCGAGGTTTTGTTAACTGGGGAGGTTTGAACCTCAGGCATTTCCACACACGTATCTAATACGGATGTGAATGTAAACATGGGTGAAGGAGTCTCGAACAACGAAAATCCAGTTTCTAATCAAGGTATTCTTGAAACTCCAATCATCATCACCAATACTTCATTACCACCATTTGTCACCACTGTTCCTACAACCACACATTCCCCAACTTTTGATTTAGTCATAAATCAACCCATTACTTCTCTATTTTCGTCTCAATCCATTGACCCACCCAAACCAATAAATGATGATGATACTGATGATGGAGGGTTTGGAGGATTATTTGCTGATTTGGAATTAGATTCTGAAGAAGAAAACATTCCAGACCATATGCTTATGTCGGGGAAACAGTTCAAGATTTTCAACAGGAAGCTTAACTCATTGTTGCAATCACAAGCAGATGAAGGGGGTAGGAATTATGTTTCTGGTATTGAAGTAGATGTTACGGTCAAAGCACAAGAGTTTCGTCTTCTGAATAAGTTGAATGTGTTGATACAAGATTCAGAATCTCAAATTCAAGACAAGCTCAAGTACTTTAAACGTATTGCCAAGGAACGTCATGTTCTTTTTGTGAAAGATGTCAAAACCGTTCGTGAAAATGTGAATCAGAAGCTTGAAGAAATGAAAGAGAGTATGGCTATAGAGCTCAGTACGTTGGATAAAAAATATTCTTCTATTCTTGAGAAAGTTGATATTATTGCTGCTGGTGTTACTACGTTTGTCCAAACACATCAATCTTTTGTTCCAAAGTTTGATACAAAAGCAACTGCTGATGTTACTAGTTTTGGTAAAATTAATACCATGCTTGTTGAATTGAAGGAGCTTATTTCGAAGTCTGGCTCATCATCTCTCTTAACTCCTGAGTTTATAGAGCAGAAGTTTCGTTCATTCGAGACTACGATTCAACATGTATTGGCTCCTTTGTCTAAGTTTGTCACTATCTTACCAACGAATGCCCCGCCTGTTATCACAGGAGTGCAAGGGGGAGAAAAGAAAGGTGTTCGTAGAGGAGAGAATGTTTCTGAGAAAATGAATGAAGAAACAAAGGTTGTTGGAAAAGTTTTCAAAACTCAAACTCCTACAACAAAACCAATATTTTTGATGTCTGAACTGGTGATAGCAACTATAGTTACTACAAGTCCAATTGCTAAAGGCATTGTAATTGAGTCTACTAGTGGAGGAAGTTATTCGAAACCCAAACAAAATGAAGCAGACAAAGGAAAAGGAAAAGGGGTTATTATAGAAAAGTCTAAGGAAGAAAGAAAAGCTGAAATTGAAGCAGCGATGGAGAAGCAGCGTCAAATTCAGAGTATTTTGATGCTTCGTAAAGATGATCCTCCTACAATGAACAAAGGTGATCCAACGAAGTTACACAGTTATGAAAATATTGAAGCAAGAGTGCCATATAATGAAATGTATGCATTCGAGAAGAAGCTAAGAAAGAGTTATGCAATAGAGAACACAGATATGAATCAACTTGATTTCCTAATCAATGAAATGATGTTCATCACAGCACAATACAAAATTATTGAGAAATTCAAGTATGAAGATGACTTTCTGCATCTGAAACTGAGGTTACATGCTTTTTGGGAAAGAATCAGGAAGAGGTTTGGTCCCTTATCAAGATTGTGCAAGTGATAAGTGTAACTAAGGATGTGTTGTTTGAAAACTTGATTCAGAATTTTCGATTTCATGTTGTAAGGGCAAACAATGTGGTTTGTGATTTTTCAGTTGCTGACTTTCCATTGATGAACTTGAATGATCTTATTCAAGTTGCATTGATTCTCAAAGATATGGATGCTTCGAAACTTCAAGGGACTAGCAAAGAGATTTTGACACTTGGTCTAGGTTACATCAAAATCTTTATAGACAATTACTATGATTGTCTAGCCTTAACTGATATTGAGCTGTGTACGGCATTGGGAAAGGAAGTAAAAGTAGCTTAAGAAACTGTGAAGAGTCAAGAAGAACTGAAGAAGTTTGCTGATGGGGAAATTTGTTTAAAGCCAATGGGATTAGTTTTTTCGAGAAAAGACAAGAAAGGAAAAGCTAAGAGGTTCTTATTTCAAGCTTTGGAAGTGGAACGGTATACTACTGCTCAATATACGAACTTTAGTGTTCGTATGAATAATTGTAAGAAAAACAATGAATGAGATAAGCCTGAGTTGAAGAAGGTTATGAGCTGGTATACAGAGGTTCGAAGATTAATGCATATGGCTGCTCAAGTTCTCACAAACTGAGTTCGACACTGATTACAAAGGGGGAGAATGTTAGTGTCAAATATTTTGTAATGTGTCGAAGTTATATGAGTCAGTTTCGAAAGTCATTTTATCTATTTACTAAGGCATAATAGTTTCGAAGTCTTGATGTTTAGCCCTTAGTATTTTTTGTATACCTTCTTATTCTCCTACAAATAGGAGTTGTACTCAGAGTTAGAGAGAACTTTTCCAAGTCATTCTGTATAGATTCTCTTTGTACACGAAAGTATAATTGAGCTATAAACCAGATCTTATTTACTCTCGGTGTTCATACTACTTTGATTACTCTGATTACATTCATACTCGATTAAATCACAACTACAAATAGATCTGAACAAACCACCAAAAAGCAACATGAAACAAACTGAAAACGATGATATTGTTCATCGTCACGACATGACAAAAGAGGTGTCACATTATGAGATCGAGGCTTTGGGCTTTCTAGGGTTTTCCTAAGGATTCCGACTTTTGGAGTAAGTAGGCTAAGTTTTCATCCATCTAAAACTGGGATTTGACCCCATTATTTATAGGGAGGTGGTTTTAATCCCTAAAGATAATTACCAAATATAATAGTGATTATCTATGGTATTCAAATCATTTTGGAATATTCCATATTCCTTATTTACTATAAATTAATTAAACTATTAATTAATTAACAAAATAAGTCCCTCAAATAAGTATCTTTTCAGTTCTACTATTTTTGTTCTTGCGTGTAACCCAAAAGGACACTCTATTTATAGTAATATTATCGGGCTTGTTATGGATATG